CCTAACCCTAAACCTAACCCTAAACCTAACCCTAAACCTAACCCTAAACCTAATCCTAATCCTAACCCTTACCTTAATGGAAATCGGCTTTCTGCCGCGGCGCCATTTTAAAGCGCCCTTCTATTGCCACGCTGTTGTCACGGCAGTGATGACGCGCGATGATGACGTCGCGGCTTTAGCGACGCGCTTATGTCTCCGCGGATAAGGGCTTCGCGGTTTTGTTGTGCCACGCTACATTAACATAACCTTTGTATTTATTTTAAAAATAATCCAGTTAGTGCCGTGAAGTTTCAGATTAAAACAAATATTTCTAGACAAAGGACCATGAGTTGTACCAAACTCTGACAATCTGCCAGCCGAAAGGGAATGTACCTGGGGAGTGGAAATTACTTGTGAACCTCTAAATTTGCTCTGCTGATTACGGCAGCAGGTTGGGAAGGAAGCAGACGTCTCCCCCAGAATGTTGCATGTAGCACAACTCATTCAGTCATCACATTTCCTAATACCACAGTTCAAAGGAGCTGCAGTACAAAATCATGAATAGTTCATTAAAAAATATGAAACAGCATTAAAAGGGGAATGTGTGAGTAGACTTCAGAATCGTGGTTTGATTAAGATCAGACAATTAGAGAACATCCCAAGCTGAAAAGGTATGTCTGAAAAAATTAGGCATGTTTCTTTCATAACATTAACTCTGCTTTTAAAGAGAGGCCTAATCAGATGCTAGCAAACTATGCATAAAGGGACTGCTCTCCAGCTATGTTCATTCACATTTCTGAATGTCAAAGGAGATAGGCTAATCACAGAACCTGAGTGCAGTCAGCTGTGGTGAGATTTGTCAATCTTCAGATAAAAGCAAGTCAAAGAAGCAAAAGTTAATGCCTACCTCTGTAGCGGGTTCTGTTTTATTCTGATGTTAATAAATAGCTCAACTTTTGCCTTTCATTCCAAAATAGGTTCACTCAAAAATTTGGGGAGGGAGAGGATGCCAGATTGTAAAATTCCTAATGGCACAAAAAAATATAGAAAAAAGGATTGTTGTTCTTAGTTGTGAAGTTGTGTCTGACCCATCGTGACCCCATGGACAATGTTCCTCTAGGCCTTCCTGTCCTCTACCATCCTCCGGAGTCCATTTAAGCTCATGCTGACTGCTTTGGTGACTCCAACCAGCTACCTCCTTCTCTGTCCTCCCCTTCTTCTTTTGCCCTCAATCTTTCCCAGCATTAGGCTCTTCTCCAGTGAGTTTTTCTTTCTCATTAGGTGGCCAAAGCATCTTCAGGATCTGGCCTTCTAAAGAGCAGTCAAGGTTGATCTCCCCTGGGACTGACCCAGAGGTGGGTTCCTACCAGTTCACACCTATTCGGTAGAACCGGTTCATCAAATCTACCGAACCGGTTAGAAGAGTGGACCCAGAAAGCAGTCCACCCACCAGTGGACCCGGAAAGCAGGCCACACCTACAGAAGAGGTTCCAAAANGCCAAGGTTGAGAAACACTGGCGTAGACGGCATTTTACCAAGAAGCCGTGAAATTTGGTTTTCTTTCCGCCGGTCCCATTCTGCAAGGCAGGAAGGAAGGGGAAGCAATCTCTTTCAAAGGCCACGAAGGGGTCACTTTAAAAGGTCACAAAGTTAAACGAGGACCGGACAGGTGAATGGAAGTGCAACCTGTGTGAAGGCCTCGGGGCCAATGAAATCCGCTCCAGCCACCTGCCTCCCGTTCCTGAGACCAGTTGAGCCAACCCATTGAATCACTTGAGATCTGTAGCAACAGAGTCCCGTCTTCTCTCCTCCCGCAGATGTGGCCGTGATCGGTGCGCCAGACATTGTCTGGGGGCAGAAGGTCAGCGCTGTGGTGGAACTCCACAAGAGCCAGGAATTGTCTCTGCAGACCCTCAAGAAATGGGCCAGGTAAGTTGGGGCGGGAGAAACAGCAGCCAGAGGACTCCCAGGCAGCCGGTGGCTCCTCCAGGGCCTTCCCTTTTCTTTCAGGCGTCCCTGGAGGGGGGGCAGGGGGAGTTGTGGCCGGCCCTTCGCTGACCAAGAGGCTCTTCTGTGCCCAGGGAGAGCATGCCCTCCTACACCATCCCTTCGGAGCTGCTCCTGGTGGAGGAAATCCCCCGCAACCAGATGGGCAAAGTGGATAAGAAACAGCTCCTCAAGCAATTCTACGGCGCCTCTGAAAGCTTCCGCCTCTGACCGGTAGAACCGGGCTCCCTGCGGCCCAAGAGCAGCACTGGACGCCCGTCCTCCAAAACCGGACTCTGGTCCTTGGCGGTGGCCTTTCCTTTACTCGCCACCCGGCAGACCGAAGAGGACCTGAGGATTCAGGCTTTGCGCTGCTCTGCCGCCTCCTACGCTGGCCCTCCAAAGACATGGGGGGTGGGTGGGGGGAGAGGGCCCGGCCAGGCAGAAGCCACAGCCTCCCTGGCAAGGCCTTCCCTCGGCTGAGCCAGAGTGCAGGATGGGAGAACACGGGCCCCGCCCTCCCCTTCCCTCTGGAGGATGGAAACCCCCTCCCCCAGGCGCACCTGCGGAGCCAAGGGATCCGATGCGGAGTTAATCATGTGTGTGTCCAAGAGAGAAGCGGGTGTTCCTATCATCTGACCCCCCCTTTTCCATCCTCTTCTGCACCACTCTGGCTTTTTAGAAATCCACCTTAAATTTATAGGTACATTTCTATTCCTGAACGTATTTCTCCAAGGTCCCTGAGCAATAATCCTCCTTTCCGGTGAGCTGGAGAAGTTTGTGGGTTCTTTGCAGCTGCCACTCCCCTTCCGCTTTCTGTGGGTCGCCTGACTAGGCACTGTGGCTGCCCTGCAAGGGAGGGAGGGATTCCGAGGGTCCCGGCGGGTGTGATGCTCGGGGGGATTCCGTCTCTCCCCTGGCATCAACCGCTGGGGCCAGAGGAGACTCTGCGGCTTTTGCCCATTCATTCAGTATCCTTTGAGGGGGGGGGTGGCTTCTCCCCACCAGCATTCCTCTCTTTTTCTTCCCCACACTCTCTTTCCGAAGAACCCCTCCCCCCTTTTTTGTGGTGCAGTAAAAGGGGCCTTCATTAGAGGGATTTTTTTATTATTATTATTATTATTTTTCAAAACAAACACAACACATAAAATCTTCCTTNCAGAGCCCTCATCAGAGCCTTCCCCAGCCTCCAGAACTGGCCCATGTTCCTCCCCAAGCTCCTCACTGTCTGACTCTGCTGGCAGGCCACAACACTTCCCTAGAAATCTCCACGCATGCCAGCACATTCCAACTTCTTCCCTTTCTCTAATCTATTCAGTCCATTGCTGAGGATAACTGTTCCCGTTGTTACCTTCAGGAGCTGGTAAAGTTTCCTGGCCCAGCAAGCACAACTTCAAATCCTCGTACAGTCCTTTGTGCCGTGCGTGTTCCAACATCTCCTGGCTGCCATCCAGGCCATGGAGATGGCGAAAACCTTTTGCCTGAAGCTTAGAACATAAAGTGTTAAGTCACAGGAGCCCAGCCAGAAAAACAGTCAGTCCCTATCTACCAACAGTTAAATGAATGCTACAGCCAAATGGGGTCTGGCCAAGAAAAGAATCAGTAGGCAGAGTGGCAGAGTGACTGACACCTTCAGTGGCAGAGTGATACCTGCTGCCATGGTTCCTCATGGGGTGCACACAAGTGATGACATGTGGATGATGATGAACCTTATGTAATTGGATGCAATGCCACATTACCTATAAGGAAAGGCAATATGGCATCATGACATCATGGCACAGTTCAGCATTAATTTAATTTCTTTATTGGAAACATTTATATAGCTGCCCATCTTCTAGCTAACTCTGGCTGCTCCCAATTTTGGGATCCCAGCAGTTAGCTGGGGATGCCAATGCCTGGCACTGGCACTGGCACTTTATGTTCTTATGCCAGGAAACAGGCTCTGCAATGCTTACAATGCTTTTGTGCATGAGCATACATAATCAGTCATTTGCATGACGATGTCACAGTGTGCATGTCATTATTTTGGTGTCCTTGTAGCTTGTATCAGGTGACTGTTCTGATGAGATCAAAAGAGTGCTCTCAGTTTCATACCAGTTATTTTAAAACTATTTACTAACACTATTTTCTGAGGGATCTGAAACAGTCTTGGAAGAGGCATTCTCTTCTTTATTTGTGTCCCACAAGAGGGAAGGCATCGCCTCAGATGGCGCCTACAAGGAAATAATAATGCAATCTGACAAAGGTAAACCTACTTCTTTCCTATCCATTTATTAAGCAACTACTGCTATTACTTGTAATGTCCTAATTATCTTCTAATAAAATAAATCTCGGGGCACCGAAAGCACCAAGTGTTTGAAAACAGAATACATTCATCAAGAAGCATTCCTTCCGCAAAAGAGATTTTTAAAAAGTTTATTCTTCTCCCATTATGTTCCCTGGAGGTTTTGAACTGCTTCATCCACCCTCAGCAGCACATCCAAGTATCTGTTAGAACCACAATGACAGCAAAATAATGTCATCATGCCAATGACAGAAATTACATCGAACTATTATTCACACAATGATGTCATGGCATGCATTGTTACTTCTCCCTACATACCAGGGGTGGGTTCCAGCCGGCACTACTGCCAGTTTGCTCATGTGTGTGCTTCACTACGTGCGCAAATGAAAAACAAGAT